GCATGGGCCCAAGCTACGCCTGCCTCTTTGTAGGTTACGTGGAACAATCCCTCTTCCGTACCTACACCGGCCCTAAACCCCACCTCTTCCTCCGTTACATTGATGACTGTATCGGTGCCGCCTCGTGCTCCCACGAGGAGCTCGAACAGTTCATACACTTCACTAACACCTTCCACCCCAACCTTAAATTTACCTGGACCATCTCTAACACCTCTCTCCCCTTCCTGGACCTCTCTGTCTCCATATCGGGCAACCACCTCGAAACCGATATTCATTTCAAGCCCACCGACTCCCACAGCTACCTAGAATACTCCTCCTCCCACCCACCTTCCTGCAAAAATGCTATCCCCTATTCCCAATTCCTTCGCCTCCGCCGCATCTGCTCCCAGGATGAGGCATTCCACTCCCGTACATCTCAGTTGTCCTCGTTTTTCAAGGACCGTAACTTCCCCTCCTCGGTGGTCGAGAACGCCCTCAACCGTGTCTCCCACATCTCCCGCACCTCATCCCTCACACCCCGTCCACGCAATAAAAACCAAAAAAGAATCCCCCTCGTCCTCACGTACCACCCCACCAACCTCCGGATCCAACGCATCATCCTCCGACACTTCCGCCATCTGCAATCCGACCCCACCACCAAAGACATCTTTCCCTCCCCACCCTTATCTGCTTTCCGGAGGGACAACTCTCTCCGTGACTCCCTTGTCCGCTCCACACTCCCCTCCAGCTCCACCACACCCGGCACTTTTCCCTGCAACCGCAGGAAGTGCTACACCTGCCCCCATACCTCCTCCCTCACCCCCATCCCAGGCCCCAAGAAGACTTTCCACATCAAGCAGATGTTCACCTGCACATCTGCCAATGTGGTATACTGCATCCGCTGTACCCGGTGTGGCTTCCTCTACATCGGGGAAACCAAGCGGAGACTCGGGGACCGCTTTGCAGAACACTTACGCTCGGTTCGCAACAAACAACTGCACCTCCCAGTCGCGAACCATTTCAACTCCCCCTCCCATTCCTCAGACGACATGTCCGTCCTGGGCCTCCTGCAGTGCCACAACGATGCCACCCGAAGGTTGCAGGAACAGCAACTCATATTCCGCTTGGGAACCCTGCAGCCCAATGGTATCAATGTGGATTTCACAAGTTTCAAAATCTCCCCTCCCCCCACCGCATCCCAAAACCAGTCCAGCTCGTCCCTGCCTCCCTAACCTGTTCTTCCTCCCACCTATCCCCTCCTCCCACCTCAAGCCGCACCCCCATCTCCTACCGACCAACCTCATCCCGCCCCCTTGACCTGTCCGTCCTCCCTGGACTGACCTATCCCCTTCCTAACTCCCTACCTACACTCACCTTTCCTGGCCCCATCCCCGCCTCTTCGACCTGTTTGTTTCCTCTCCACCTATCCTCTCCTCTATCCCTCTTCTATCCGCCTCCCACTCTCTCCCTATTTATTTCAAAACCCCCTTCCCCTCCCCCTTTTCTGATGAAGGGTCGAGGCCCGAAACGTCAGCCTCTCTGCTCCTATGATGCTGCTTGGCCTGCTGTGTTCATCCAGCCCTGCACCTTGTTGTCTCGGATTCTCCAGCATCTGCAGTTCCTACTATCCATGATAAGTCTGATGATGGGATGAAGCTTGTTGATATCACTCAATCGTTGTTTCAGTGATTCCTCACCATGAGTCCAAAGTAAGAAAATGTCATAAATGTATCTGGTATATAGTGTTGATCGGAGGTCATGTGCAGCTTGTTCACACTTGTGCATGAAAATGTTGGCATGTTGGGTGCAAGTCTGTTCCCCTGGCTGTTTCGTGTGTCTAGATGGTTGTCAAAGGTGAAGATGTTGTGGTCCAGGATAAAGTGGATGAGTTGTAGGATGGCGTCTGGAAATTGGCAATTGTTGGTATTGAGTACTGATCTCCCTCACGTGCGTGCACACACACACCTATAAACCTATTTGGTGAATTTGCATTTGCAGACTTGTAATTGCAGATAAATTCAATTTTGTTCAAGCAGCACACCATTTGTAGACAGTCAGCTTGGCATTTTATAAATTCCTACATTGCAAATGAAACTAGTCTGACTCCAAATTAATACACAGCCAGATTCTAAACAAGGCCTCACACCTAAAATGCATTGCCTGACCTGAGATGTCACCTCTGGTATAGTGATAAAACCTTTAGTTATCTCAGGGCAGTGACCTGAAAGAAATTCTGGCATTTGTATTTTAATCCTTTCTAACTGATTAAAGATTTAACAGCCACCTTAGGTTTGTTCAATTCATTTGCATCAGCTCCATGGCCCTTTGATCTTTTGCTTATAAATTGTGTCTGATGCCACCTCTCCCACTGCCACCTGAACAAGGAGCAAGGCTCTGAAAGCCTGTGTCTTCAAATAAACCTGTTGGACTAGAACGTGGTGTGGTGTGATTTTTGACATACTCTAGAGGAGGGAATATTGACGCTACTGCACATGCGCTGGCTCCCTACCTGCAGTGTCATCACGCTCCCTGGTTTTGTCATTACGTACTGCCACGGTGCAGACCGGGAGTTGTAGTCCCTTCCAGGGAGAAACGCGCTTGCGCAGTGGGGAGCGGGGCCGTGGTGGGAAGGGGCCGGCCATGAGCGGGCAGTGTGTGAGGCGGCGAGCGGAGCCGGCCTGGGTCCCGGGGAGGAGGGGAAGCGGCGATCTCTGGTGAGCGCGCGTGTGTATGTGTCTGTGAGAGAGAGAGGGAGCGGGAGGCGGCCTTCCCCCTCCTCCTCCACCTCTCCCCTCCTCCCGAGTCTCCGGCGGTGGGCTTCCCGATGACTGCGTGGCTGATCCTGCCCGTCAGCCTGTCCGCCTTCTCCATCACCGGCATATGGATCGTGTGAGTATACTGGACCTGCTACTCCTCCTCAGCATTTTTTTTGGTTGGGTGGGGGTAGTGGGGGATTTGTTTTCAGCTTCCCTCCCGTCGCTTTCCCCACTCGGATCCTGCTCATGCGGCCGTTGCCTTGACACCCCACTCGCAGGACTGCGCCTGCTCGCACGGCCGGCGGCCGGCTGGCCGAACTGCGCCTGCTCCGTCGGTCCGCTGCCCAGTTCCAGTCCACCCCACGGACTGCGCCTGCTCACACGGCCGGTGGCCGGCTTGCCGTTTCTTGGCCACTGCATGGACTGCGCCTGCTCCTTATCTGGCCAGCTGACAATGTCAGGTATACACCTCATCGCAGACGTTCCCTGGGCTGCTTATTTTTAGCTGACCAGTTCCAACTGCATACTTATCTGATGTGTGTGTGTTGGGGATTTGAGGCTGTTGTTGCGTGCTTGCTGAAAATGTACATTCTACTCTGCTTTTCTGATCTTGGAACTTCGTTTAACATGAGACATAATACTGAATTTCAAACTTGTCGATTTTTTTTCTGAAATAAATTGATCAAAACATGAGGTATACCATCGGTTTAAGTGATCCATTAATGCGACATACTCTATTTTAATCTTGTTTCTCCCCCCGCCCCACCTTCTGTAACAAATAGGACATCCTGAGACTTTGCAATTGCCAAATAGCTCAATGTGATCAGCTACACTTGCTTGCCCCTTACAGAATTCTAGGTTATATTACAGTTTTTGAACTCGTGTTAGCAAACATGGTCAGTGAGTGATCAGAATTGGAAGGTTCACTCCCCTTCTCCCTAGCCTCACCCCCCCGCGTAGACACTGCCAGACCCGCTGCATTTCACCAGCATTTCCTGTTTTTATTTCAGATTTCCAGCATCTGCTGTATTTTGTAAGGGTGGCTTGTTTGTTTCACAGGTGGTGGGAAGGATTGGAGCTTGCCGAAAACAGGACCGGGGAATGGGTGACAAAAACAATCGGATGGACGCCTGTAGGGAAGTTGATGAAGATGAGATTGTTCATGTGTGAACCTAGCCTAGTGCTTACAACCCAGCCAAAGTTGGGCATCTAATACTGTGATGATGCTGTGGCTTTAAGAGGTGTGTTTTGTCCTGGTTTCTTTTGTAGGGAGAGAGAGAGAGAGAGAGAGAGAGAGATTAGGGGACAGGCACCAAATAGTCTTTGAGAAGGTAAATAACTTATCAGGCCTTGGAGTTTTTTTTAAAAGTTGGAACAATAGAAGCTGCCTGAGTGGGTGTGGTCAAGCATTCACAAACCCAGAAGTTTTAGTTAGCTTTCAGCAGTTGTTGCTGGGGCCTAAGCAGGGTTCAAAGACAGTGAATCTCTCCTAGCTGCTACACTCCCGCTCTCTAAGTTTTCTCTCAGTATTGTCTTTTGATGTTCTTTCGTTGTGGATTGGAGAACTGCAAGTGAGAGAATCTGTTTTCTGATTGTGCTTTTTTGCCAAGCGTGTGTTTATGGAATGTTACTGTATTGGAACAGTTAATAATAATTACTGTATCTATTATTCTGTTAAGTTTCCCAATAGAATCAAGTTATTCCAAGTTCTTCTTTCTTTTGGTATGTATTAACCATAGTGTTTTAATAAATGGTGTTTGGCTTAATGTCAAGTAGTTTGACCAATCAAATTTCATCTGGAACATAGCACATCACACTTACCTTTAAAATAAGAAAAAGCGAGGGTCCAGGCTACCTTCTTAATATGTTTTGGGGGGGTCAGATCTGGTCCATAACAATACCAACACTTATCTTTCTCCTTGGAGACAGTAAGGACTGCAGATGCTGGAGGCTGGAAAAGCACAGCAGGTCAGACAGCATCAGAGGAGCAGGAAAGTCAATGTTTCAGGCCAAAACCCTTTGTCAGGACTGGGTATAGGGAGGGGAGCCCACAAATAAATAGAAAGAGGGGGTGGGCTGGGGGGAAGAGATAGGAGAGATGGTGATAGGTGGATGCAGGTAGGAGATATTGTAATTGGGCCTTGGGAAGGGTGGAGCGGATAGGTGAGTAGGAAGATGGACAGATTGTGTCAGGATAGGGAGGTGAAAAGAAGGGGGAGGGCTGGACATGGGATAAGCCTGGAGGTGGAGTGATTTTGAAGCTGGTGAAATCAATGTTGAGGCCATTGGGCTGTAAGCTCCCAAGGCGAAATATCAGGTGTTTTTCCTCCAGTTTACATTTGGCCTCACTCTGACAGTGGAGGAGGCTCAGGATGGACATGTCACTAGGTCAGTGGGGGGGAATTAAAATGGATGGCAACCGGAAGGTTATGTTGGTCGATGTGTGCAGAGCGCAGATGATCCACAAATCTGTCCCCAAGTTTGCGTTTGGTCTCCCTGATATAGAGGAGACTGCAACAGAAGCAATAGATCCAGTTGGATGAAGTGCAGGTAAGTCTCTGCTAGATCTGGAAGGATTGTTTGGGGCCTTGGACAGAGGTGAGAGCAGAGATGTAGGGGCAGGTGTTGTACCTCTTGTGGTTGCCATCCATTTTAATTCTCCCCACTCCCCTGGTGACATGTCCATCCTGGGCCTCCTCCACTGTCAGAGTGAGGAGGAACAACACCTGATATTTTGCCTTGGGAGCTTACAGCCCAATGGCCTCAACATTGACATCACCAGCTTCAAAATCTCTCCACCTCCAGGCTTATCCCATGTCCAGCCCTCCCCCTTCTTCTCACCTCCCTATCCTGACACAATCCGTCCATCTTCCTACTCACCTATCCGCTCCACCCGTCCCAAGGCCCAATTACAATAACCCCTACCTGCATCCACCTATCACCGTCTATCCTACCCTTCCCCCAGCCCCATCCCGTCCTATTTATTTTTGGGCTCCCCTCCCCCTCCCCAGTCTTGGTGAAGGGTTTTGGCCTGAAATGTTGACTTTCCTGCTCCTCTGATGCTGTCTGACCTGCTGTGCTTTTCCAGCCTCACACCTATAGACCCTATTTTGTTCCAATGTTCTCTCTCTTATCCTGGGTCATGGTAGGTGGCTGTAATGGCCAGTGTAATTGAGGATGAATGATTCTGCAGTGCCCCTTATTGCAACCAAAGTAGACAGATAATCTCCAAACATTATTATGTTTTGTCTGAGCAGCCTGCAAAGAGAGATTGGCAAATTTCTGCACCTTTTATAGACCAATAGACATGGTTTTTGGGAATCTGAGCCTATATACAAGAATTCCCGAACCAAGCTACTGAGATAATGTAAATTTTTTGCACTATCTCTGTTTTGTGGTTCTCAAAACGGGATCCTCGAGCCACTGCTGCTCCTGGAGAGTCCCATGGGCTAGTCTTTGTGCACAATGCCACAGCTGACCCACACGTGTAGGAGTAGGCTGGAGCCCTCGATGCTGCCTCTCCTACATGCAGTGTGCCAGCATTCCAAACACAAGCAACAACTCTGCTATAAAAGCAATGTTTGTATTGCTGTTCTGGATGGGTGATGGTGTAGCACTAATGCTACTGAACTCGTAAACCAGACACAAATGTTCTGGAGACGTTGAGTTCAAATCCCAGCACAGCTCGGTGAATTTAAATTCAATCAATTTAAAATACAGTCTAGAATTGAAAGCTAATCTTGGTCATGGTGACTGTGATGTTGTTAAAAACCCATTAGGGGTAAGAAATCTGTGGTGCTCATGTGGCCTGGCCAGAACAGAGACCTTGGAGTGCAGGTTCCCTAAAAGTGGAATCACAGGTAGACAGGGTGGTGAAGAAGGCGTTTGGCACACTTGCCTCTATTGGTCAGTGCACTGAGTATAGGGGTTGGGAGGTCATGTTGCGGCTGTACAGGACATTGGGTGAGGCCACTTCTGGAAAACTGCATTCAATTCTGGTCTCCTTGCTAAGGGAAAGATGTTGTTAAACGTGAAAGGGTTCAGAAAAGATTTACAAGGATGTTGCCAGGGTTGGAGGGTTTGAGCTATAGGGAGACGCTGAATAGGCTGGGGCTACTTCCTCTGGAGTGTCAAAGGCTGAGGGGTGACCTTAGAGAGGTTCATAAAATCATGAGGAGCATGGATATGGTAAATAGTCAGGTCTTTTCCCAGGGTATGGAAATCCCAAACTAGAGGGCATAGGTTTAAGGTGAGAGAGGGGAAAGATTTAAAAGGGACCTGAGGGGCAACTTTTTCATGCTGAGGGTGGTGCGCATTTGGAACGAGCTGCCAGAGGAAGTGGTGGAGGCTGGTAAAATTACAACATTTAAAAGGCATGTGGATGGGTACATGTATAGGAAGGGTTCAGAGGAATGTGGGCCAAATGCTGGCAAATGGAACTTGTTTTATTTAGGACATCTGGATAGCATGGATGGGTTAGATCGAAGGGTCTGTTTCCGTGCTGTATAGCTCTATGACAGTTGACTCCAGATGCACAGCAACGTAGTTGACTTCTAACTGCCATCTGAAACAAGCCACTCAGTTCAAGCGTGATTGGAGGAGGGCAGCAAACATTGGGCTTGCTCCCCACCTCGTGAAAGAATTGTTCTTAAAAAAAAAAATCCAAGTGCGAGATTCAGCTGCGCAACACGAGGAAATGGCTGAAACGTGTCGCCTGGCGCTCTCTCCAGCTTAGAACCAGGGCGTCGTCTGATCAATTTTTCCAGTCAATTTATTTTGGAAAACATGGAGAGTGGGTCAGTGTAGGCCAAAAGGTTCGAAGCCTCTGGTGTGCGGGGTTGACTGAAGCCAAGTGGGGAAAATCCCAGTCCAGGTGACACAAATGGAACATTGGTGTCTCCTTTGTATTGAAGCCTTTAATCCAATGCATTTGATTTAAGGTCATAAGGTTAGTCTATTTCTTCATAGGAATTGATACTGTAGATATGGGTGGCCTTAATGATCAGCAATGATCTGGCTCCTGTCTGTCCCTAACTGCTTAATGTTTTCCTTCTTTCAGATACGCGATGGCAGTGATGAACCACCACGTGTGTCCTGTGGAGAACTGGTACGGCATTAGCAATTTCTTTTCTCCCCTCCAATCCTGCTTTGCGCGGACCGATAGCAGCTCAGCTTTGGCATCGAGGCGGTACAGATGATTTCCAGGGAAGGCTGGAGCAGTGGAAAACGCCGCTGCTGAGGATAGGATCAGAACAGCTGGCAAAACATCCTGCGTGCACTTGTGTAAACTCTTACGTCTGCTGGAGTGGTAGCTAAAGAATCGTTGCTTGGGCAGCCTTTTTGGGAGTGTAAGGCTATGCTTCAAGCCCCCATCTCTCAGAGCGTGTACTCACAGGAGTGTCAATGAATTCAGTGTGATTCGTTCCTGTGTACTCCCCCCAGCCCCCACTACCGGTGGAATCAATCTTTTGGCTTGAAATCAGTTCCTGTTCTCAGCCTAGAGTAGTGTGTTTAAACATTAAACAAACAACAAATAAGCCCCAAGGAATACCTTTCAATTTCTTTTGCCCCAGTAGTTTTGCAGCTGCACTGAGGCACATGACTGTGGCGTCTATGTGTACATAAGTGCACACAGTTTTAAATTCCCTGTTTGATTCGGATTTGAATTTCGAGGTTTTCTTGTTGTATTACGGTCAGCGGCAAGTGACTGTTTTGCAATGTCTCCGTGAGTTTTGTAGGGTCTCTGAGCTCCAGTGTAACAAGCTGACCAGGAGTCTCCCCTGCTGATCCAGCCTGCCCTCGGCCTGTGTCAGAAGGGTTGATCCCTGACCTGTTTGGCCATGTTCTGCCCAAATTGTCCCAGACCGTCAAGCTCTGGGGTGGGTGTCGAATCCCATGAGCCTTTGGCTCAGAGTCAGGGACCCTGGGCACAAGACCTCCTTTCAACGTGCTCCCTTCTGTAAAGTGGAGCTTGGTACGGAAACCCACAAGAACTGCGGGAGCAACATACTGCAAACGCTGGAATCTGTACCCAAAACAGAAAATTGCTGGAGGTCACAGCGGGTCAGGCAGCATCCATGGGGAGAGAGAGAGAGCAAGCTAATGATTCGAGTCTGGATGTCTCTTCATCAGAGCTGACATGAAGTGTGGAGGGGACAGCATTTATGCAATAGTTGGTGGGGGGGAAGGGTGCGGGTGGAGTGCTGAGGGAGAAAGGATGTTGATAGTTCAGATTAAGTGATTGGAATGTGAGAGCGGCAGAACAATGGTGTGTCTAACTGCTAGACTGGGAAGAACAGACGGTCCCATTTGGGTGGGGGTGTGAGGAGAGAGGACATGGTGACAGAGAATATAGCAAGTAAAGCTACAAGAAAGGGAAGGAATGGTAGTTGGTTCACAATCTGAAGGTGTTGAACTCAATAGAGATAACAAGGTGTAGAGATGGATGAACACAGCAGGCCAAGCGGCATCAGAGGAGCAGGAAAGCTGACGTTTCGGGCCTAGACCCAGCCAGAAGGCTGTAAAGTGCCTAGTCTTAAGATGAGATGTTGTTCCTCCAGTTGGCACTGTGATTCGCTGGAGCATCATGGCATGCCAAGGACAGACACATGGGCATGTGAGCAGGACGCTGTGTTAAAATGACCAGCTGCGGGAAGGTCAGGGTCATACTTGCACATGGACTGGAGGTGTTCTGCAAAGTGATTACCCAGACTCCGTTTGGTTTCTCCAGCGCCCTAGAGTAGATCACATTGGGTGCAGCAAATGCAGTAGGCCAGATTGGAGGAGGTCCAGGTGAAATGCTGCTTCACCTGGACAGTACTGTTTAGGCCCTTGGATGGTGAGCGGGGAGGAGGTGAAGGGAGGGTTGGTATTGGGGGTAATTGAGGAATGGACTAGGGTGTCTCAGAAGAAACAGTCCCTGTCAAATGCAGAGAGGGGGAGTGAGGGAAAGATGAGTTTGCTGGTGGCATTCTCCTAGAGTTGTCTGCAAGAACTGTGTTTGCTGTGGCACACCTAGGTTATCTTGCGTTTGTATGATTACATGTGAAAGAAGAACGTAGAGTCATAGAGACTTACAGCTCAGAAACAGAACCTTTGGTCCAACTCATCTGCGCTGATCAAATATCCTAAATTAAACTAGTCTCATTTGCCAGCATTTGTCCCATTTCCCTATTATTCCTACTCATGTGCTCATCCGATACCTTTTAAATTTTGTAATTATACCCACGTCCACCACCACCGCTGGCAGCTTGTTCCATACACGCACCACCCTCTGCATGGAAAAGTTAGCCCACAAGTCCCTTTTAAATCTTTCCCCTCTCACCTTAAACCTATGCCTATCTAGTTTTGGACTCCCCTACCCTGGGGAAAAGACCTTGGCCCTATCCATGCCTCTCATGATTTTATAAACCTCTGTAAGGTCACCCTCTCAGCCTCCAACACTCCAGGGAAAATAGCCCCAGCCTATTAATCTTCTCTCTATCACTCAAACCGTCCAACTGGGACAACATCCCTGTAAATCTTTTCTGCACTTTTTACAACCCTTTGCTGTAGTAGAGAGACCAGAATTGAATGCAGTATTCCAAAAGTGGCCTCACCAATGTACTGTACAGCCACAACATGACCTCCCAACTCCTGTACTCAAAGCAGTGTAGATTCGTTGGAACTCTATAAATTAGGTGATGGTTCGATGCAATATTTTTCTGCCACAGTGATTTTTCTCTTTTTGGAAACTTCTGTGGGCTCTATTTGAGCTTTCTTTGAGGGAAGTCCTTTATTAGATGATAAAGGAAAGAGGCAGCATCTCATTATTGTCAGTATTTGCTGAGTTCTTTTCTCAAGGTCTGTTTCTTTTAGATAGAGAAAATGACGCAAATAGAAATGGAAAGATTAGCTGTAGCATGTAACAGCTCACCCAACCTTGTGGATTATTCAGATCAAGATAGCATGCTAACCATGTGTCAATGCTTTAACTTAAAACCTTGTTTAGCAAAGTTAGTTGCAATGTAATGGAGAAACATGGCAGTTTATATAATTGAGATTTGATTTTGATTTTATTTTACAGTGAGGATACAATAAGATTCAGTGAAAAGCTTTCATTTGTCGCCATAGTACAGCGCCACTTTGAATAATTTAAGAATAAGGTTAAAGAGAGAATAGCAACTAACTTATTTACCCCTTGTGAAAGATTCAAGTTGTTCAGAATATTTGTCTAAAAGGTCTATATAAGATTTTTCTAAATAAAATCCGGTTCGTGCACATTTTTTTACGTCTCGTCGTTCACTTTCTCGGCTTGAGTCATTGCAACTCTTGTCCGCAACTTGTGAGCTGGGTTTGCGTACAATGCCATCTGCAAAAGTCTTTGTTCATCAGCATTCCCCGTCGGCCACGATAAACCAGAATCATCACCGATTCTCAAACGCGACCCCAGTGGAAGTCAGACGGGTGGTGGAAAAAGTCAAGATGAATTTGGGTCAGCAGCTGTTGACTTTTCACGTAGTCTCCCCAACTCCGGCCACCGCTCAAAACTTAAAAGCTGACACAGCCACTGGATGCTGCCCTCGTCCACCCTATCCCCGGCTTCAGCTCTCTCCTGAGTTCCGAGGAAGGGCCACCGGACCCGAAACGTTA